CTGGACCACTCTCACTCTGATCCATCCATGATCATCACACCATCATCGAAACAACAAGGACTTCAACGACAGAGACCACAGTAGGTGCGATAGCGTTGCGTGTTTTGATGAGTTTCAAGAATGAATGATACATGCTTAAGCTCTTACGTACACTAGGGCCGTGTAAGGAGCGCGTTTCGCACTTAGTGTCCATCATTTGAAATCAATTGCTTAGTTGACCAACTATGCATTCGCAACTAACATGTTCTTCGTGTGAAAGACCTTGGCGTTATACACCATCCGAAAGACCTGAGGTATGTTCTGCCTGTATGTTCATCTGAAAATGTTTGCCGAAGACAGCGACTTCCTATATGGCCGGGATCACGGGGTATTCCATTTTGGAACCAATTGTGAATAATTGTAGTAAATTGCAATAAAGCCATTCAAATCGAACCGATTAAAATACTTTGGATTCTTCAGCTATATGTTGATCTTGGATATGGTCAGCCTTCAGATTAATTTTTTTTGATCATAGCTGTGCGATGAAATCTTGCCATTTATCGTATGAATAAGAGGAGTTTACTTTCCCGTGTTTCTCTTATGGTGTAAGTAAACGGTTTCCCTATAGCACGTGCGGGTAGAAATCTAGACAATCAAAATTGGCGGCAGAATCAAACCTAAACAATGGCTTTCAACGCAAATTTCTCGAGAATCAAAACACACCGACGTAAACTAACAATGTAATTAAATAAAGGAAGTTTTCTCTACATGATGCTAGCGTTAGATTGCGTGGATGTGTTTTGATTCTCGTATAATTTGCGTATAAATCTATTGTTTACGTTTGGTTGTCCCACCTGTTTCAATTGTTGGTCTAGAAATGATGCGATGATTACTATTTGTCAATTCTTGGTAATTTTATGACGTCCTATGATGTCCACTGATGTGCCGGAGGTGTGACATCTGCTAGCAAGTCATAATACGAGGCGCCCACTGTTTTGGCGACGGTGTGGCATCATACAACATACCATAAGATCATGTGAATGTAATGCATGATGCGAACCTCGACAAGCCTTTTCACCATGCTAGCAGATGCCACTCCTCTGCCATATCAGTGAATACCTTGACTAATATCATGTTGACGCCACATGTAATGTTTTGAAATGCCACATCGTCGCCACAGTAGTGAAGCAGTGGGTCCTGACCTTAAGCCCACATGGGGTGCATGGTGTGTGGCATGAGCGGAATGTTGTCATGATGTTTTGACATGCTAGCCTTAACACTCTGACCGATTAAGAAAATCCAGTCAAGAACATAGAGGGTACTTGGATTTATGTTGGAAATCCTTTGAGAAAGTTTTCAGAACTATAGTATTTCAATGGTTATACTTCTTAAGAATATATTCGCTTAATTAGGATCCTGGCAATACAAAATTTCCCCAATAACGAGAAAAGTTAATGTTCACTTTATGCAACATCTTATGACCATCCATATTGAGTGTCATTCCATGTTGTCGAACGAATCCTGCGATACGAAGATGTATCATGAACAGAAACTAACGCACACGATCTGTGCCGAATGGTACACACTAAAATAAATATTCTTTCGATGATGCCGTCAGTAGTAAATCATTTGTGTGAACGTATATGATCATCGATGAAGCAAGATTTATTTTCTCTATTTCTTTATGTGCCATGATTCGTCGGCTCGCCGATACAAGGAAATCTGTTTAGTTTACTTAAACATGGGGGTTCAACGGGTATGGAAATTCATGTGAATTATTCAGTGAACAGTGAAAACTTCAAACACTGGTTAGAAATTTGTGATATTTTCAATAGTGACCCATTGAAAATTGAAAAGTGTTCATTTCAGAAGACTTGCAGAAAAATTTCCAATCGATTGTCTTTTTTAGAATTATAATCCATCCATTATTGACAGAGTTATAAGTGATCAAAACCTGACCACTTTTCGTAACGCGGTCGATTTTGGTTTTTGAAATTACACCCGCAATATGTTGCCGAAAGAATTCCGATCCTAAGTCAAAATCACAAACCCAAACCTCCCAAGTAAGAGTTTGAGTTTTATGATGATTCTGCAGACTGTGACTTAGACTTGAAGAACGCATTAAATCCTCGATAAAACTGGCAATGTTACTTTGGCTTGGTTGTGATGCAGTTCTGTTTTCGGGTTCATATTTTCCAGACGTGAATTTTTATAAAATTTTAACGGGATGAAATTTTACTTAATTATTTTAAAATTATCTCAAAGCATATCTCTCTCATTCCAAAAATTTCTACCCGCCATCATTTCAAACTCCAAGATAGCGTACCAAGATCCCAGTTCAGCTCTAGACCAAACCGAAAAGTCGATTTTTGTGATTTTTCTAGCACAATTTTTGACGTATACTACGTCTTACGGGAAGGTACTGGGGGTTAATCGAAAATCTAAAACTGCGACCGTCACGAAAACGTGTAAGATTTTAAACGCTTATAACTTTGTCATTTATTTATGAAACTAAAATACAAATTCGCCAATCGAAAGTAAATAACTCTTCAAATTTGCCACAAAAAAATGCTTTTTCAATTTTCAAAAAAAAAAACTGATGAAAAATGTACAAATGAAAAGTGATAATTTTATCATTTTTTTCATGAAATATACGGTCTTCGCAAACCCAGTCGTCAGAATCGAGTACCAATTGGATGCACATCGTTCTGCTTGATTCTGAAAAGTTATAAAACAGCGCTGCTGTCGTGCCTCAACTCATTTTCGCTTCGAACGGCGAGTGAGCAGGAAACAGCAGCAGCAGTAGGAAGGCAGCGGAGGTACACGACGTTAGGCATACGGTCGTTAGGCATACGGACGTTAGGCATACGGACGTTGGGCATAAATGACGTTAGGCATAATGGACGTTAGGCATAATCTACCCGATGGATTCCAGAAGGATGATAATGGGGACCGTCCGACTGCTGACTTTGGTGACAGTAATGAAAGAGCCTTAATTTTTGGAACTCATGAAAACTTGCGACGTCTTGGACAGGCAATGTATTGGGGTACAGATGGTACGTTTGCCACATTTCCTTGTTTGTTTCGGCAACTCATCACTGTTCATGGAAGTATCGCTCCCTCACATCAGCAGACGGTTTCGCTAGTTTTCATTCTGATGACAACAAAAACAGAATCGTTGTATCGAAAAGTATGGCAGGAAATCCTGGAAGCAGCAGGTATGTTTTTTTTTGTTATTGAATGAAAAACCACAGAATTCACCATTCTTTATTTCATGAGCCGTTCTTTGACAATTGCTAAACCTTTTCTTCTTTGACAATTGCAATATGTGTGGAAGAATATATTACAAAAAATGTGTTATTTTTTATATCTAAATGCGATTGATTTCAAGATATAGTTCAAAACCATGCTGAGTTTTCATTGCCAGATTACTTAACCGCAATCGCTAGTAATCTTGAATCTAAGTAAGAATGTAGCTACGTCACTTATGATATGATAAATAATGGATTCCAAACCGTGCTCATTAAATAAACTATGTTTGTTTAACTTGTATCATCTTTTATTCAACGCTTAACCTAAATTAAGCATTGTTTACCATGCTCGAAACAGGATTTAAGAGTTGCACAGCAGCAAGGTATTTTATGCCTAACGTCTATTATGCCTAATGTCCATTATGCCTAACGTCCATTATGCCTAACGTCCATTATGCCTAACGTATATCATGCCTAACGTCCATTATGCCTAATGACTTTATGCCTAACGTAAATTATGCCTAACGTCCGTATGCCTAACGTATTTACGCTTAATGAGGTACACTCGCGAGCCCCGTTTGATGGCGCAATCACTCTGAAGTGGATCAACCTCGCCTGAGTGATAACGACGATACCGCGTTCTACAAATCTCGATTACTTTTTCGAAGAGACGTATCAACTTTTGTAAACAATGTCGATTTGGCGTAACTGGTAGCTCGCAGACACGTACTAACACCCCTGTCAGGTAGGTGAAAATTTCCCCTATCTGATGGTAGTGTTAGCATGCGTGAGCAAGCTACCAATTACGCCAAATCGAAGATCAAATGCGTTGTTTACAAAAGCTGATATGTCCCTTCGAAAAAGTAATCGAAAAATGCTTCATAAGCTGAATCCCAATTGCCGAGTTAACTTTAATACGTGGTTAAAATAGTTATTTTCAATGTTCAAAAATCCCGGTGTTTTAGATCTATCGGTTTTCAAACAGAACTCAGTCACGGTTGCCAAAATTTAACTTCTAGTGGGTCAGAAATAACCACACTCATATAGCAGGGTTATTCGATAACTCCATCTGTCACTGTTAAATTTAACTTAACTTAATGGTGATTATGTAGAGGGAGAGTACTTCTATGAGATAAATTTGTGACATACATGGATAGACTTTTAATTAAGATACTTTTACGGATTGAGTTCCGATTTCCATTCCGATTTCCATTCCGATTTCCATTCCGATTTCCGTTCCGATTTCTATTCCAATTTCCATTCCTATTTACATTCCGATTTCCATCCCGATTTCCGTTCCGATTTCTATTCCAATTTTCATTCCGATTTCCATTCCGATTTTCATTCCGATTTCCATCCCGATTTCCGTTCCGATTTCTATTCCAATTTTCATTCCGATTTCCATTCCGATTTTCATTCCAATTTCCATTCCGATTTCTATTCCAAATATCATTCCGATTTCCATTCCAATTTTCATTCTGATTTCCATTCCGATTTCCATCCCGATTTCCGTTCCGATTTCTATTCCAATTTTCATTCCGATTTCCATTCCGATTTTCATTCCGATTTCCATCCCGATTTCCGTTCCAATTTCTATTCCAATTTCCATTCCAAATTATATTCCAATTCCATTTTGATTTGCATAATGAATTCCATCTCGATTCAGATACCGATTTTCATTACTAATTCCATTCCGATTTCCATTCCAATTTCCATCCCGATTTCCGTTCCTATTTTCATTCCGATTTTCATTCCGGTTTCCATTTCGATTTACATTTCGATTTCCATTCCGATTTCTATTCCGATTTCCATTCCGATTTCTTTCCGATATCCATTCCGATTTCCGTTCCGATTTCCATTCCGATTTCCATTCAGATTTGCATTCCATGTCCATTCCGATTCCGTTCCGATTTCCGTTCCAATTTCCGTTCCGATTTCCGTTCCGATTTCCGTTCCGATTTCCGTTCCGATTTCCGTTCCGATTTCCGTTCCGATTTCTATTCCAATTTTCATTCCGATTTCCATTCCGATTTCTATTCCAATTTTCATTCCGATTTCCATTCCGATTTCCATTTCGATTTCCATTCCAATTTCCATCCCGATTTCCGTTCCGATTTCTATTCAAATTTTCATTCCGATTTCCATTCCGATTTCCATTCCGATTTCCATTCCGTTTTCCATTACGATTTCCATTACTAATTCCATTCCGATTTCCATTCCGATTTCCATTCCGATTTCCATTCCTATTTTCATTCCGATTGCCATTCCGATTTCCATCCCGATTTCCGTTCCTATTTTCATTCCGATTTTCATTCCGGTTTCCATTTCGATTTCCATTCCGATTTCCGTTCCGATTTCCATTCCGATTTGCATTCCGATTTCCATTCCGATATCAATTCCGATTTCCATTCCGATTTCCGTTCCGATTTCCGTTCCGATTTTCGTTCCGATTTCCGTTCCGATTTCTATTCAAATTTTCATTCCGATTTCCATTCCGATTTCCATTCCGATTTCCATTCCGTTTTCCATTACGATTTCCATTCCGATTTCCATTCCGATTTCTATTCCAATTTCCATTCCGAATTATATTCCAATTCCATTTTGATTTGCATCATGAATTCCATCTCGATTTCGATTCCGATTTCCATTACTAATTCCATTCCGATTTCCATTCCGATTTCCATTCCGATTTCCATTCCGATTTCCATTCCAATTTCCATTCCGATTTCCATTCCGATTTCCATTCGGATTTCCATTCCGATTTCCATTCCGATTTCCATTCCGATTTCCATTCCGATTTCCATTCCGATTTCCATTCCGATTTCCATTCCAATTTCCATTCCGATTTCCATTCCGATTTCCATTCCGATTTCCATTCCGATTTCCATTCCGATTTCCATTCCGATTTCCATTCCGATTTCCATTCCAATTTCCATTCCGATTTCCATTCCGATTTCCATTCCGATTTCCATTCCGATTTCCATTCCGATTTCCATTCCGATTTCCATTCCGATTTCTATTCCAATTTCCATTCCGAACTATATTCCAATTCCATTTTGATTTGCATCATGAATTCCATCTCGATTTCGATTTCGATTCCGATTTCCATTACTAATTCCATTCCAATTTCCATTACCAATTCCAATCCTTTTGAAGAAAAATTATGAAAAACAAATCAAGCTTACCAACAAATTTTGGAACAGTTTTTTGGATGCGTGTACTGTCGAGATGAGGTTTACCAATTTACCTGAAAAGAAACAAAAATGATTGGTCATTAATTAGCTTTATATAATTTCATATCGAGCAACTAACGAACACCGTTAATGGAGGAAGGTTGCATTCTTTTAAGTCATCTAATCATGATTTTTTTTTAACTTTAACAGTCTTTGAGCGCGCCGATGTCAGCTTTTGCCAGTTCAAATGAAATGCCAAATCTAACTAAATCGAACATCCTGCAAACTCTTAATCGTTAGGTATTCTATGAAGTACTGGGAAATAAATGCTTCTTCTTCAAATCTGCACGAGGTGTTATACAATACATAAGTAATCGGAATTTTGAACAAATTTATGGAATACATAAAATTGTAAAACCAGGTTGAATACTCAACTGATATACATGGGCGTAGCCAGAAGGGCCACCCGGTTCAGTAACAGTATTTTATTGAATTTGCAAGCTTATGAATTTCAAGAATTCTATAGGATACAAGATTGCAGCAAAATATTCAAGTCCAATAATTTCGATGCCTTTTGACGTAGGACTACGTCTGTGATTTCTATATGGAGGTACACTTTGTGAAAACTGAAAATGGAACAAAATTATGAAAGATTTTGAACGTTAATAACTCAGCTGCCTCTGGACCTATTTGAATAATTTTATCACCAATCGATCAGATATATTCCTACGCATCTGCTATATTTAGATTTTATAATTTTTCCAAATTTCACCATTGAAATTAGCACGAATGTGCAATTGTTGCTTTGATACTTAGAATTATCACCTGCAAAAGGCGACTTCCCTAACACGGATTTCAAAGTTGAATTCCATCCGGTCTCACCAAACGGTGATTATTCAATCACCGCGTCGAAAATTGGCTCCAACTTGGAAACATTTTCGAGATTTTTGACTTTTAACACTGTTAATTTATTCTCTTCATCGACTTTCTCTTTCAATTCTAGACGAACAATTCAAAAGGTCCTACCTGCTTTGATTGATTCTCTCCAACCACTTTCTAATTGAGATATTCCCGATCAACTACGAAATGTTGCATAACATTGGTGCAAAATTGGGCACCCCGTTTTTGTGTGTGCATTTTGACGTAGAACTACGTCTTTGTCGACTATACTGGGGTGCAAGTCAAAAAATATGTGTGGTGAAGGAGTGTTAGGTTTTGAACGCTTGTAACTTTGTCATTTATAGATGAAATTAAAATCCAAATACGCCAATCGATAGGATATTACATTACGAACCTGTTGAAATAAATATTTTTCCAATTTTTCTGTAATTAAACTTTTGAAAATGTACAAATGATAATTTTATCACTGATTTCATGAAATAAGCCTTTTTCCCAAACCCAGTCATCATAAACGAATACCACTTGGTTGCACATCATTCTGCTTGAACCTGAAAAGATATAAATCAGCGCTGCTCTCATGCCACTGCTCATTAACGCTTCGGACGGCGTGGCGCTTGGTCCTGCAGCAAGCAGGACCAAATCAGCGGCTTAAGGTGGATCACGGCGTGACCACAATGAGGAAAAGCACACACGCCCTTCACAACAATCTCTCGGCCCCCCCTCAACAACCTCTCCTACCCCCCCCCCCACCATCAAACCTCTCCTACCCCTCTCCCCACTATCAAACCCCTCCTACCCTAATAAAAATTGTATGGTTAATTTGCTTAACGACGTGTTCTGGGTATCATCCAAACCATTTGTGGAATAGTTCAATGATTTGGGTTATCGTTCGCTTATGGTTATTTTTTATTAGGGTACCCCCCCTCAAATACCTCTCCTTAACCCCCTTCCCTCAAATACCTCTCTTAAACCCCCCTCCCCCTCAAATAACTTTCCTCCCCCCCCCCCTCAAATACCACTCCTAAAACCCCCGTCAACAATAACCCAAATGCGAGACAGACTGACGATCCCTTTTTCCGGGAAATAAATTTTAAACAAACCACAATCATTAGTAAAACCAAGTTTAACCAAATTTGAACAAAAATTGCATTGAAGACATGTTTGATTACATTCAGTTGGTGAATTACACACAACTGACGGTAAAACATATCTGGTGCCTCTATATATGCAATTATATTAACATCCAAAGTCCATCCTATTTTACATATTCTGCACAAATGAAACTTTCTGCTCCGCCCCATTCATAAAAAAAACTGCGGGAAATCCTATCAGGTTCTGAACCGGAAAAGATATAAAAGAGCGCTGGTGTCATGCTTTTGCTCATTTTCGCCGGCGTGGCACTTGGTCCTGCAGTAAGCAGGACCAAATCAGCGTCTAAAGGTGGATCACGGCGTGACCACAATAATGATGTAAACCCCCTCCCCCTTTCACAACAACCTCTCCCCCTCCCCCTTCACAACAATCTCTCCCCCTCCCCCCTTCACAACAATCTCTCCCCCTCCCCCCTTCACAACAATCTCTCCCCCTCCCCCTTCATAACAATCTCTCCCCTCCCTCAACAACCTCACCTAACCCCCCACCACCACTCATCAACAACCTTTCCTAACCCCTCCCCCACTCATCAACAACCTTTCCTAACCCCCCTCCCCCCACCCCTCAAATACCGCTCCTAACAAATCAATATCTATGTGTCGGCCACATACTTAAAATATGTACATATAAAAACCATGCGTGACCACACATACTATTCATTTGCGTGTAAATTTCATGTGTACTTCTGAGTGGATTCTGTTTATGTTTGGTCAAATGAAAATCATGTGGAATTTCACATGGATATTTGTCAAGAAAAATGTGTAAATTGTTTTGAGTCAACCATAACCGAAACATTGAAATACTTGAAAATTTTAAGATAAAGTATAATAGTCAAAAATGCATGAAAAACATCAATTTTGTGTGGTTCTACGTCATACTGCGGTCGTGTCTAGGACACAACCCTTTACTTTTTAATTTTTTTTTTGACGATTTGAACGTCAATCGTTTTGGAAACCTTATTTCTGATCAATCTCATTATCACCTCAAAATTTAAAGGGCACAAATATCAGCTCTCACAAAACATACATCAGTGAAACTGGAACTTCACGTTTCCTACAGTGCAGTACACAAGGAATTCCAATTTCATGAGTGATGTCACAACAGCGTCTGAGACTTGTGCTCTTGAAATCTTGAAGTGATAGCAGTTTCGCAATTGATAAGGTTCTCGAAACCTAAAGACATGGTACAATTTTGAAAATGCCAAGCTTTTATAAACCCAGCGTAGTGCAAAGCTGCATGTTCGCTAATTTGAGACTGTTTAAAGTCTAAGTCAGAACGGTGGACTCCTATAGTCAACTCTATACCTTTTGAGTATACAGAACCAGAACTAATTCTGTCCATACATGCCCCGGATGGCTTCACCAGTAAGTCAGACATTATCCTCCTCCTTTTTTGCTCCATTGCCACCATTTCCCCCGCCACATTATCTTCAATAAACACCCTAATCAAATGTAAATGGACTTGTTCTACATTGCCGGCCGATTATTCGCCGGACCCCACGTCTTAACTGTTCCGTGCACGTAGATCCATACATATTCCACATTCCACCGGCTTCAAACCAGCCAGCACCATCACCACAAATCGACGACGACGACGACTAAGACGACTAAGACGACGACGATGGACGGGAGTGAAAACATCGCATGACGGTGATGATACTTTGAATTAGCTTCAAATAGGCACTAAAAAATAAGCAAAAAAACGGCTGAGCGGGCCATGGAAGCAGCTTAATTATGAAGCTTACTAATTAAACGTCTCGGTAATAAAAGAAATCAAGCAACCAACCAACGGCTCGCATCGTCGCACCCGCCGCCACACTGCGACGACGACGACGACGACGAGAAATGGCGTGGCTGATCCACTTCCCGCAGT